CAAGCAATCTGATTCACATATTTATTCTATAATGTATTATTCAAGTCCATTAGTACAATAAGAAATGGCTTTTCTTCCAACTAAACTTCAAAGACAGCCTGGAGAGATGCCCAGATTACAAATATGTATTTCCTTAGCATTGAAAAAAATGCTCCCTCCAAAAAAATAAAAAGTACAGAAACTAAGGGCACACTACAATTTACGTCAAAGCAGAGAAAACATCTACCATTTGAATTTTTGAATGAGATAGTGAGAAGGTAAGCGATTAATATTATGGTTAATACGTATGAACCAATAATGAGGACAGAAACAGCCTACACGATTTGAGAAGTCCACAGTCTTACAATCGCCTCTCCATGAAATCAACATGGGTGTATTGAAGCCTAGACCCAAAATACAGAAAGTAGACACACTCTGCAAGCACTCTGAAACATTTATAAAAACCGACCACAAACTAGGCCACAAAGAAAGTCTCAATTCCAAATAATTGGTATCATACAGACCATATTCTTTGAACATGCAATAATATTAGATATTGTCAATAAAAAGACTTTAAAAACTCTCATGTTTCAAAGCTAAAAAGCAGACCTAATAGTCCATGTGTTAAAAGAAGAAATAACAACAAAGTACTTCATATTAAAATTCACGGAATTTTTAATATTTAATATTAATTTAATAGTCAAGGAATTTAAAATTCAAGGATAAAGCTTAAAGAGAAATGTATAGTCTTAAATATATTTATGTTTATTTTTTTTCCTCCCAAAGCCCCAGTAGATAGTTGTATGTCATAGATGCACAGCCTTCTAGTTGCTGTACATGGGACGCGACCTCAGCATGGGCAGAGAAGCAGTACGTCGGTGCGTGCCCAGGATCCGAACCCGGGCCGCCAGCAGCGGAGCGCACGCACTTAACCACCAAGCCACGGGGCCGGCCCTATATTTATGTTTAAAATGACAAAAAGTAAAAATAAATGAGCTAAATGTTTAACTCAAGAGGCTACAAAAAGTAAACAAAGAAATTAAGAGGAAAAATAAAGAGCAGACATCAATAAAATGAAAACAAAGTGAACATCTACAAAACCAAAAGTTGCTTCTTTGCTAGAGGGTGTCTATTTCAATAGTTTTTTCAAAGTCTCATCAAAGAAAAAAAAAACGCAAAATTGCTAGGAAAAAAGGAAAATTATAACTATAGATACATTTTTAAAATCATAAAAGTATACTTGAAACATCTTATGCCATGACTTTGTAAAAGGTGAATGAAATAAACAATTTCCAACCCCCATTTCTGATCTCCCTCTGACAGCACAGCTTCCTGCCACCCCGTGCAGCCTATATGCGGTAGACACGCTGATCCAGAAACCCTCGGCCCCTAGCCAGGCAGGCAGCCCCCTCCACTTACCCGTGTGCCTTACAAATATCATCATTTTCTGAGCGTGCCAGGCAGTGAGAAAATTTGGCAAGTTCTAGTCTGTGTTAATGGAACCCTTGACTGTTAGCTAAGCAAACTGATGCCTGGAATAAAGATTTCACTTCATGGTCCCCTTAGTGACAACGATCTGGTCGATATAATGAAAGTGGAAGTGGTATGCACAACTTCCAATAAATAGCCTAAAAAAGACGGGGTGTGCCCTTGTCCTTTTTCCCTTTTCCTCCTTCCTGCTGGCTGGAATGCAGTCCTGAAGGCTGGAACTGGGGCAGCAATCTTGACCCATAAGGTGCTCTGAGGCAGTGAGGTCACGCATGTGGAGGAATGAGGCAGAAGGCATCTGGGTCACTGCCACCTCCAGACTCTGACTCATGAGCTGAAGCACTTTCTACCTCCTTTAAGCCACTATTGCTTTAGATCTTTCCTTCACTTACAAGTAAAACTAATCCTAACTGATTCAAATATTAATTACCAAAAGAAACAAAAAGAAAGAGAAAAACGGAATATACTTCCTAAAGAAATTGACTTGGTAAACCAAATAGAAAGGATTAGTTTGAGAGAATAGAAAAGCTAACAACATTAAGACTTCAATACTAAGAAAGCAATAAGAGGAGGAATCAGCAATGGACAAAATAATCATTAACCACCAAGGAAATGCAAATTAAAACCACAAAAAATTTTAAAAACTGGGGGCCAGCCCGGTGGCGTAGCAGTTAAGTGTGCGTGCTCTGCTTCGGCGCCAGGGGTTCGCAGGTTCGGATCCCAGGTGCGCACCAATGCACCGCTTCTCAAGCCCTGCTGTGGCGGCGTCCCATATAAAGTAGAGGAAGATAGGCAACGAATGTTAGCTCAGGGCTAATCTTCCTCAAAGAAAGAAAAAAAAATTTAAAAAACTGAGCATACCAAGTGTTGACGAGAATGTGGAGGAACTGAGACTCTCACACACTGCTGGTTGGAATGGAAAACAGTACAACCACTATGGAAAACAGTTCAGTAGTTTCTTAAGAAAGTAAACATATGTTTACCAAATGAGCCAGCAGTCCCACCCCTAAATATTTGCCCAAAGGAATGAAAGTATTTGTTCACACAAAGACTTGTACATGAATGTTCACCACCACTTTATATGTAATAGTCCCAACTAGAAACAACCCAAACGTTCACTAGCTGGTAAATGGACAAACACACTGTGGTATATCCATACAATGGACTACTACGCAGCAGTAAAAGGGAATGAACTGTTGATACATGCTGCGACATGGATACATCTCAGATGATTATGATGCATAAAAGAAGCCAGACAGAAAAAGAGTGCAGTCCATATGATTCCACCCACATACAATGCCAGGAAATGCAAACTAAAGGACAATGACAAAAAGCAGATGAGTGGTTCCGGGAACTGGGGAGCTGGTGGGAGGCATGGAGAGAGGTTGGTGGGAGGGATTCTGAAGAGCATAGGCCACTTTTGAGGGCAATGGATATGTTCACTGTCTTGACTGTGGCTGGGACAGCTGTGTGGAAACAGACTTTCATTCTATTGGGAGAATAAATGGGTACAGCCACTTCCAGGAGTAATTTGGCAGTATCTGGCGAAATTGAAACTTTGCACGCCCTCTGCACAGCAATTCCAAGTCTGGGCACAGACACTAAAGCAGGGTTGCAAACTACATCCCCAGGCCAGGTTCTGTTGCTGTGAATGAAGTTTTAGTAGGACACAGTCACACACATTCATTTACTGTCGTCTATGCTACAGCTGTTTTCAGGCTCCATCAGCAGCATTGAGAAGCCGCCCCAGAGGCTGCGTGGCTCACAAGCCGGAAATATTTACTCCCTGGCCCCTTACAGAAAATGCTGGCTGACTGCTGGTCAAGAGAGACAGTGGCTGCTGTGTGCCAGGAGACACATAAAGGAGCCCACGGAAGCACTGTTTACAACTGTTCACAACAGCGAAAGGCTGAAGAACCCTAACTATCCATCAATAAAGGAATTAATAAACAAATAATGGAACACCAGTCATCAATTAAAATGAAGCAACTAGATCTACAGTATCAAAACAGGGAGCATCTCAGAAACATAATGTCGCCTGAAGAAAGCAACCCGCGTAATAGAGCAACAACAAGATAACGTTAAGAACCCACAGAACAGTGCCAAATACAAATCCAAGTGAGAGTCACAGCAAATTCATCTGAGTGGTCGCCCTAGGGAGAACGGGACTATGGCATGGTCAGAAAGGACTCTCCCTATACATTTTAATTTCTTTTATTTTAAAAAAATCTAATGAAGATGTTTTCAGAAGACCAATAAGCTACATTAAATCTGATGTTCGTGAACACACTGCAGAAAGCAGGGCGAAGGAGCCTGCTAACGGTTCCCTACTCAACTGTACCACACACCACCCGACTCTGAAACACTACCTCACTGTACTTTTCTAAAGCAGCAAATGTTCACCAAACAAGGACATTTTCTTCCTTTTATCTTCTAAAGTCAAAAGATCGCCTACTCTGAAATTTACTCTTCAGAGGAAACTTTGAAACACAGGCCTAGTGTGCTTTGCATAAAAAACACAGCTGTAAAATTCAAACCCACTGAAGCTTCAAAGGTTACCTACGTTAACAGCCTGGAGACACGAACCTCGCCGGGGCCCCAGGACAACTCCACAGGCATGTGAAAGGACTGTGACACGTTACAATTCCACAGCAACAGACACCAGATGCAGAAAGGCTTTTCTCCTTTCAGAAGAGCACACAGTGGTGCCGTCAAGCAGGGCCCTTGGCAACGCTCTTGTCCTGTTACTGCTGTGAAAAGAGCTCCCTCTAATGTTGTCTCAACTGCACTCCTCATTGGCTGTTTCAGGCCATGTCTTCCACAAACCAGGACATTTTAAGCAGAATTATCTAAAACAAATAACCATTAATTCAATGGGGTGGGGGGGCAGGGGTGTGTGTGTGCGTATAAAACTTATTGGAATTGTCGGCTGCTGATAAAACTAATCATCCAAGAAACTCTGTTATTAAAACAATAAATGAACATTTATTCTTGTTTTTAAAAGCGGCTATAACAGAAATCTAGCTATGGTACCTGAGGCACACGACCTGGCCGGCAAGTATTCACCCCAGGTCACGGGCCCAACAAAACCACATCACACAGCTGTAAGGAAGACTCCCCAGAGGCCAGACACAAATAGCAAACGTATGTACAAGCCAGGCTTGAAAACCTCCTCATCTCTTATTTTGCAGTCAGCCAGGCCAGGTGCCAGCCTGCCCACTCCGTAGGCAGGGAGAAGGGATGGACGAGCTGGGAAGGGGACAGCCATGGGGTCAGAGAACAGGCCTTTGGCCCTGACTCCTGAGCCCCCAAGCTAGGCCACTGCTCCACCCAGGACAGGACTGGATGGGGTCCAGTAGGCAACATCACACTGAAGAAGCCCTGAATTTTCTATCCTCCCAACTAAGGGGGCCAGTGGAGAGGGGACTTTTAAACATAATAATCACAATATTTGAAAAACGCTTCTCATTTTAAAAGTAAAAGTATGAAGCAGACCGCTGAAACACCAGTGTCTACAGAAACTGCTCCATTACCTTCTCTCCAGGTTTGGGTGGCTGCTGCAACTTCTCATAATCTTTCTTGGTCTCCAGAATTTTTTTGACAAGTCCTCCTGTTGAAAATCAGTGATTTTATGTTAAAGTTATAGATTTAATGTTATTCTCTGCCCTAAGAAGCTATTCTGTTCTAAACGGGTGGAGGGGTAGGAAGAAAATCAAGTTCTTTTTCTTCCTCTTTCTATATTGAAAACAGCTTCAAATAATCTTTATGTGATAAAAAACAGTCTACAAGAGGCAGAATTGCTTCTAAGTACTAATACTTCTTTTATATTGGGACAAGTGTCATCAACTTCTTTAAAAAAAAGGATTACTCATGGGCTAAATATCTCATAATATTTTAAAGAAAACTTATTTTAATAAGTTTTACCCAAATATTTACCAAAATATTGTTTTACCCAAATGTGCATCAATAGGAAACTGGCTGAATAAACTCTGGTACATCCACATGGTGGAGGATGATGTAGCTACGAACAGGAATGAAGACTATTTGTCTACAGTGCTATGGAATGAATGCCAGCATATACTGTCAAGTTAAAAAGCAAGATGGACAAGTGTAGATATTGATAAATACACACACACACACACTCACACACATGCATTTACTTATATATATTTTTAAAATGGAAGTGGAAGCCATATTTTTTACTGTTACCTATGCGGGAGGAAGAGTGTAGGGTGGAGAAGGCAGGGATCAAAGCCACGCATCTCTGAATATACCACTGACCTTGGAAATGTGAATATTTTACAGAACTAAAACAAAATTAAATCAAAATTTTCAATGCCTAAAAATTGAAACCAAAATGAAACTAACAAACTTAATTGGCAAACACAGTCTAACGGAGAAGAATTATTTTGTAACTTTAAAAGAGAGTAATTGGCTGACACCCCTAGTGGGATATACGCTAAGCACAAAAAGGCAAACAGACCTACCAAAAAAGTCCTCAAGTGCTTTCAGTAATCATAGTTGTTAATGTCTGGTGGTGGTGTTCTAAAATTGCTATGTGTGCACACACTGTAGGATAAAGCAAACAAACAGCTGGTGTTGGGAGCCAGGATTTTTGGCATGACATAGAGCTGCTCATACTAAATCAAAGAACTTAGGAAAAACCCTACAATCGTAAAGTTGAATTGGAAATACCAGTATGAACTTGGGACATATTTTCCTTTTTCTTTTTTTTTTAATTTTTTGTTTATTGCAGTAACATTGGTTGGGACATATTTTCTTATAAAAAAAAATATATAAGAAAAGCCCTAGAAACAATGACCAACCCAGAAGCGATGCACAGCCAGGCTCCCTGGAGAAATGGAGGATTTCAGATATGGGGCAGGAAATATACAAAATGAGCCTGAAACATCTTGTCATCCCAGAAAACAAGAAAGCCACAAAGTCTACTGGGATGTGTCAAAATGCCCCCAGAAGATAACTTGCATAGGCTCCCAGTGGGAAATTTGAACATTGACAAGAAAAATTGAGATGGATTGAAATGAAACAAACCAAATATGTTAAAAAAATAAAAAAAAAAATAAAAAAAAAAAAACACAGGGCCAGCCCCCGTGGCCTAGTGGTTAAGTTCGGCACGCTCTTCGGCGGCCTGGGGTTCAGTTCCCAGGCATGGACCTGCACCACTGGTCTGTCAGTGGCCATGCTGTGGCAGCGGCTCACATACAAAAAGAGGAAGATTGGCAACAGATGTTAGCTCAGGGCGAATCTTCCTCAGCAAAAAATAAATAAATAAATAAATAAATAGATAGATAAATAAAACATGACTTCATATAGCTATCAAAACAACAAAACAACCCCAAAAGCCCTCAATAGTCACCTTTGATAGCTGCCAGGAAACAAACCCACTGTTATGAAAACTGATCAATAAGGGGAGCGTACAGAGCATCTGTACGCCTGCCTCTTCCACAAGAGCTGCGCCTTGGGGTGGTCAAATGCCAGAGAAGGAAAAGCTCTGCCCTCTGGATTTCTCCAAGTAAAACATGAGGAAGGGAGACGGGATGAGAATATCACCATCTGCAACCCTTAATGAAATAACAGGCCCAGGCTGACATCACCAGCAGAGAGACAAGCAGACATTATGAAGAACCAACACCACCTACCAAGTATTCTTGCCCAGACAACCTCAATCTGATCCAGTCTCTAGAAGCAATTTACAGGAACTGAAGCATATGTAAAAAAAACATTGGTATGTAACAAGCAACACCCAACTGTGAGAAACTCTGAAGGACAACGGACCAGCTTCTTCAACAAATAAATTACAAGGGAAAAGGGGCAGGAGGGCAGACCCACAGGTAAGAGAGACTTAAGAGTTACATCAGTTCGACTGCAATGCAGGGACCTTATTTGGATTCTGACTCTAGACACTAGAAAAAATATACAAAACTGGAAAAAACAGACATCTGATGATATTAAGGAATTACTGCTTTTTTATATACAACAATGGAATTAGGGTTAGGTCTTTTTAAAAAGAGCCCTCATCTTTTAGAGGTACATACAACACGTTTAGAGAAGAAATGAGTTCTCCAGGGCTTGAAGTGCGTCTGGAGGAGGGGGTATAGTGGATGGAGGCCCAGATAAAACAAGATGAGTCCACCACTGTCGCAGCTGTGTGACGGTACAGGGGCTCGTCAGACTACTCTCTCTGCTTTTGTAAATGTTTGACAAAAAGAAGACATTGTGCTTGGGAAGAAAACAAATAATATTTTTTTTTTTTTTTTTTAAAGATTTTATTTATTCAGTTTTTTCCCCCCAAAGCCCCAGCAGATAGTTGCATGTCATAGGTTCACATCCTTCCAGTTGCTGTACGTGGGACTCGGCCTCGCGTTGGACAGAGAAGTGGTGCCTCGCGGCGCACCCGGGATCCGAACCCGGGTCGCCAGCATCAGAGCGCGCGCACCTAACCGCTAAGCCACAGAGCCGGCCCGAAAACAAATAATATTACAGAACTGTCGATTTGGAAAGGAACTTACAGGTCATCCAATACCAAATCTAATCGTATGGATAAGAAGAGTCATCTACGTAACCGCTTATAGCTGGTCTCCAGGGTCCTGGGCACCCTCCCCAGTCCTCTAAGGATAGGTAGCAGCATGTATCGTCTCCTAGAATAAAACCACCACCTGGGAGGAATCCATGCCCATGGTGTCCTATTTACTGCCATTCAGAACCCTGACCAAAACAGGGCATACAAAGCTCATCTGCAGTAGATCCTTTTGAAACATTTGCAACAAAGCAGACACAGATGTGCACACACACCCAGGACTCACCATGCTTCTCATCCTCTTCAACTTCCACTGCTTGTACCTGAGCCGGAGAGGAAGGAGAAAAAAAGGAGGTTCAGGTTTGTTGAATTCTCAAAATCATGCTTTCATGGATCTCATCAAAGGAACAACAAAATTAAAGAGGATACCAAACTAACTGAAACATTAGAGGAAAATTTTGCTACATAAACCTGAATGCTGGAGTATTAATTCCTATGTTGTTGAAGTGTAATTATAAAAACACACACTCCGGTTAACTAACCATTTCAAGCTCTGACATCTCAGAGAGCTGGGGGGCAGCCTCCACCACAAACTGATCGTCGTCTTCATTGTCAGAATTCTGCGAGTCTATAATCACGTTTGAGACAGTTTTACCACTCCCTGTCCTAAACAAAAAGAAATTAGATTCAATTAGAAATGCTATGTCGGTCACACGTTTTCATCAACCCCATGCACCTGGAACTGGGCCCGAGGTGAGGTGAGAGGAGCTTAACCACTAACCATCTCTAGAACATCATAAAACACAGGCGGAAGCTGAGATGAAGTCTGGGAAGTGTCCTCTGGGAAGCCCCTCAGGCCTGGGTCCCTGTGAGCCCTGCCCTCTGCCAGCCCCCTGCCTCGGTGATGTCCAGCCCTCTCCTCCCGCCTCACTGCACCATCTACCTAACACTTGCCCTCGGAGCCTCGCCTCTCCCCAGCTGGGCTCTCTGGGAGACCAGCCCTTCACCTGCAGCTCCTCACCTGGAAGGGTCTATTCCCCCAAGTTGAAACCTCGGAGCAGGGGGACACCAGTGGCCCCGTTGGCCAAGGCTGCCCCAGGCCTCTGCTCCTCAGTCTCACACGGGGACACAGTGGCCTCCTCAAGGCCCCTCATTTGGCTCCTAGTTGCTGCCCCTGACCTACGGCCCTGCCCAGCACCCTCACTTATGCACCTTCTCTCCCCTACGCCCTGCCATCACTTTGAGCCAGTCCAAAGTCCAACGGCCCCTGACCTGGTCCTCTCAGGTGACCGCCTCCATCCAAGGGCTCTCTCACGCCCCCAGTGGCCATGCACTGGAACATCCCAACTACAGTCACCCCACAGCAGACCACTGCCAGCTCCCCTCTCCTCAGGCACTTCTCCCACCACACCTGTGCCCCCCCCAAAAAGCCCCCAGACCCAAACACTCACCGCTCCCCATCAGCCCCTCCTGCCTTCCTTTCTTCCCAACCAACTTAACAGAGCCATGCTTTAATGAATACCCTTAACTCCCGTGCCTATCACTCTAGTACACACACACACGTGCATACACACACATGCGTGCACACACACACCCCCAAACCTCTCCCTTGTTTCGGTGCAACGCATGAGGTCAGGAGGTAATCCGTGCACTTGAGTATGAGCTCTTGAAACAATACCCGCTTCTCCCAAACGTGCTCAACTCCATCCCCAGGGCCCCTCTGACCTCACAACTGCCTGTCTCGCCTCTGCCTGGACCAACCTCCTCTCCTCCTTTCTCTCTTCACTCTCCACACACGCCCACCAGGGCCCCCGTCCCACCCCTCCCCAGCTCCTGGAACTCTGCCGCGTGTCCTCCCTCATCTGCAAATCCTTTCCATCCTCACCCTCGTCCTGAACGTTCCCACCACCACCTGTCCCAGGGGACGTGCCTCCCTGCAGCCCTCACGCAGCAGTGACTCCCTCCCACTGGCCTTCCATCACCAGGTGCAGTGAGAGGGTCAGTGTTTTCCTTGTGCTTGTGGCTTCCAGATCATTCTCCCCAAAGTCCGTCAATTCTGAATCTCATGTTGTCGGAGACCCTCAGACAGAGAATCAGAGCTCTCGCCCTGAACCCCATCATTGTTGCCCCCATCTGCCAACCCCGGGCCCCACCCCTGCATTCCTGGCTCCCTGTCACTTCCCGCAACGCTGCTCCTGCCTTAACTCTTGAGGATTTCGAGTACTAAGAACTGATCCTTCCCAAACCCTCGGCTCTAGGGTCCCTGAATTCTCCCACATCCATCGCTCAGTCACAATCCCAGGGTCACACCTTGTCACTGCCACTGACAGCAAGCCCCCAATCTCAAATCCAAGTACCCTACCCTTTCCAACTCTCTGCCCACCCGGTGCCTGCACTGTGCAGCTGACCGTGGCTGCAGAACAAAGTCCACAGCCACACCGACTCTTGTCACTTCACACCATGTGCACCTGGATGTGGCCCAGCAATCCAGCCTGCTCCTCCAGGCTAGCCTCTGCACGCCACACCGTGGACCTCTGGGCCGGATCATCCTCTGTGTGGGGCTGTCCCGGCACTACAGAATGTCTAGCAGCATCTCTGGCCTCAACCCCACAACTATATGCCAAGAACCTTCCCCCCACCTCCCCATTCACAATGCTGCAAAACATCTCCAGACATGGCCCCAGTGTCCCCTAAGGCCCCCAGGGGTGGGAGTAGCCCCTGGCTGAGAATTTCTGCTCTAGTCCATCCACCAGCCCACTCTGGTGGAGAACAGCTTCCCGCCTCCTCCTCTCTCCTCTGACCTCCTGCTCCTCCTTCCCTAGACTCGCTCTTGGCTCCTGAGAGAAAGGAAGCACCAGAGAGAACCTTCCAGAATCTCACCCACACACCAACTCTCCTTGGTTGTCTCTAAGGCCGGTCCCTCCACGTCCCCTCGCCCACTCAGGGACTCTGTCCAACAATTCCCTCCCCATCCTGCTTCTCCTACATCACCAATCTTCCCCTCTCCACTGGATCATTCCCATCACCAGAAAAATATGCTAGTTCTCTCATCTTAAAAACAAAAAATAACAACTTCCCTTGACACTGTCCCTCCCACTATCTACCGTCTCATTCCTTCGCGTCCCTCTGCAACAAAACTTGAAGAACACATCTACACTTGTCTCTAAGTCCTGCCTCCTGTTCCATCTGAAACCCACACCAAACCAGCCTGTTTCTGTTTTTCTATTTTTTTGTACTTTACTCCACAGGTAGATTTGTAAAACTTATAAAAGGCCTGTCTGTGGCTTGTCTTTATACCATTTTTGACTTTCTAACAATCTTTTGTTTTTAATTTTTGTGCAATTAAGCCTTTAAATCTTTTTTTCCTATTTTTCCCCTCATTGTTTTCATGCTTAGAGAATCCTCTATCTAGAGATCAAAGAAATACACTGTAAAGACTTAGTTGTATGTGCACGAATACTTGTGTGTTCTCTTCCATCCATCTGAAATGAGAGGCTGGTGTGTGGCTTGAGGTCAGGGCCTAGCCTGGTCTTTCTTTTCCTCACAGAAGACTTCCCAGCACCGCCTGCTGCCTTCTCTGCCCCACCTCTCAGCAGATGCATGATGCCCACTCCTCCAAGGTCCCACCCACGAGAAGCCCGGATGACGAGAGCCTCACCTGTCTGTGGCTAGCACCTCTACACTCTCCTGTCGCTTCACCCGGGGAGGCGCTGGTCTCGCACTCCCAGGCCGAGGTATTCTTCTAAATTCAAATATTGGAAAACCAAAGCAGGGACATAAAACACTTGTACGTTTCAAAGTGGACAAAAGAAAACGCAGGTTAATGCTAACACTAATTTCCAGGCCACCATCAACATGTTAGTTAGGACAGAGTCTGCAGAATACTAAAAACATTCCATTAACCTGACAAGTTTAAAAGTATCCATCTTTGATCTCATATTTTCATCAATTTTAAGGTGCAAAAGTAATAACAGAACTATGAATTTCCATAAATCTCTAAAATGTTCTATGTGTAGTTAGCTACACCTCAGGTTCAGGAAAAATAAACAATTTCTGCTTCTCTGTACAAATATTTCCTCATAACACGGCTGAAGCATTATTAAGTCGAGTGCAGGAGGTAGAGAGAGAAGCCCGGCCGCAGTGGCCACGTGGGGGATGAGAGGGCACGGACCTGACACTGGACGAGAGCTCGGTAGGGATCTCGGAATTCTCAGACACCTCAGACTTATCTTGGCCAGAAGGTCCAACTTCTCCTTCTGAATGGATGACAATCCAATCAGCAATTTACAAAGGAAGAAACACAAACAACTAATAAATATGTGAAAAGACAGCAATCAAATAATTGCAAATATAAATGAGCTTTTTTCATCTATCATTCTGATAAAGATAAAACAGTCATTTGATATCTAAATTTGCTGAAGATTTGGGGAAATGGGTATACTGAAACCCTGGAAATACCAACTGGTTCAACTTCTCAAGAAATAGGATTCAAAAGGGAGATCGATCAAGTCAGCAACTTAACTTAAAGGAAACACAACTAAGGAAAGAAATGGACACGTGTAAATATACGTGTGTCAAGATGCTCACCCACCATCATTTATAACAGTGACAAACAACAGGTAACATTAGTAATTTATGGTACAGTCACATGCGAGACCCTACTATACAAAACAATGCCATCACTTAATATATAATTAACGGAGTATAGTAACATATCCAATAATTACATATATGCATATGGCGGTCTAGAAAGACATTCACTTAAGTTAGGAGCAGTGAAATTACCAGTGCTTTTCATTTTCTTCTTCATTTTTCTGTGTTTTACAATTTTCTACTTGGGGTATCTACCACGTCATTTCTATAATCTGAACAAAGTTTTTTTCATTTTGACAAAACGATTTAATCAGTAAACAACAAGCCCAAACTATTAAGACAATTAAATTTACTCCACTAATAAAGAACTTTATTTATACTTTAGTAAATGGTGAAAATAAATCAGAATTTGAATATTGGAAATATACTTTATACCCTGGAAAAAATCCTGAAATGTATTCTCCTGAAACATAAAACACGTAAATTAAATCTTAAATTGGTACAGTTATGTTTCCTCAAATTACTTTCACTAACACAATTTGTAAAACCTCAATCTGAGAGGACATGTTAATATCTATACACACGTACACAATTTATAGGAAACACATTTATTTAAGGCCATGCCTTACCTGCATCACTAGGAGAGTCACCTGAAAAAAATAAAAAAAGGACATCAGAAAATCAACCTTTGTGTCAGTGACCCTCAGAACACTAAATGAGCAGAATGGGATCAGAGAAAACACACAATAGCCACTGTGGACATGTGCCAGGGACACAGCCATCCCCTCAGAGCCTCTTCTCAGTTTCTGCCATTGTTTTATTTTCAAAGACAGAAAAACAAAGAACAAAGCAAACTATGAATCATAAAATGTTATTACACAAAAACAGGAAACGAGGATGAAAAGAAAGTGTATCATAGAGACAAATGAAAGACAGATTAGGCGAAAGTTGATAAAGCCAGGAACCAGGGACAGACTCACTCCGTGAATCTGGCCGACACACCTCCAGGCCGTGTTAAGACCGACACACCTCCAGGCCGTGTTAAGACTCGGGTAAGCACACAACAGCCCATCTGACCTGACTCATCACTAAGTATTTTTCCATCTGCTCCTAAATAAGAAGAACATTTCTCAAGCTCCCTACGGGCCTACCTTTGCACTTTTCACCCAGGATCCTTTTTCTTCAAGTGCTGCTTTTTGGAGACAAATGTGACCTATGTAAATGAGCAGGAGCATTGTAGGGGTGGGGTGGGGTGGACTCAAAACCGCAGGTGGATCATCTTTGTGTTAACACTCTTAAAATGCATGAACGCATTTGCAGAGAAGCCAAAACTACCTGGGTCCAGGTGAGAGCCAGGAGACAGACAGGAGCTGCAGCCGCCACGCAGCCCCTCAGTAACCACAGCTGCACCTGCAGACAGGGACCGTCTCACACACGCCCACGAGGATCAGGGCCTGGGTTATTCTGAGGATCCACACACAACACAGGATGAAAAGCACTTCTCAGACACCTGAGCTTGTGCACAGGAGGACTTTAAGAACCTTCTGTTGCCTAAGGAACACTACAGTCAGAGAGCCACATAAATGGTGCCCTGAAGAGGGCTGCTTTAGGGGAAAGGGGACAACAGAAACTGGAAGGGCCTCTAGGACCCATTTGTGTGGAACACAGGGGCCTCCTGGAAGTCACACCCCACCCCGAAGGTGACACAGCAGAGGACAGGCCTGGTACCTGCTGGGGCCAGAGCACTGAAGGTCAGCAGTTAGGAGGGGCCTAGAGTACATGGTTCTAGACACTGCCACTAGGATGGTGTGAAGACAACTGAGGGCTCAGGCTCAACCCTGGGGCAGAGGGCAGCAGCAGACCCTCTCCTGAAGGTGGGGCAGCCTGGAGAGCACACTCAGAAGAGACTAGCATGTAACAGCGGCTCTGTCACTGGGGCCCTGGACTCCAAACCCCGGTCTTCCTTCAAAACCCATGCCCTCGGTGTTGGGGACACACTGTGGGTCCACGTGGAGCTCAAAGGTTACTGAGAAGTGCAGCAGCTGAGTCACGAGGCCGACCCCCTGACAGTGAGTGTGCATAGTAGCTTTCACCCCTTCAGAGATCAGGCCCCCCACCCCTCGGCAGCCCCCACACTGCCGACTCCTTCCTCATGGATGCTCCGGGTTTTCCCCGCCCATCCTCCGGCTCTCCTCCTCAGAACCCTTCACCAGTTCGGCCTCTTCCCCAAATCCAGGGCCCAGGCCCAGACATGGCACGCCCTTCTTCCCTCTCCCCGCACGCTGTGCTGTCATCCCAGGTGACCACACCCTCAGCCGGGCTCCCATCGTCGTCTCAATGCCAGCAACCCTCACAAGTTATCTCTGGTCCAGAGCTTCCCCTGAGCTTGGCCCTTAGATGTCTCAGCACCTCTAGAACCTGCCCGTTCCTTCCACTCCCCATCCCTCCACCACAGTCCAGCCCACTCTCTCCTCTTCACTACTCCCCAGGCCTCCCAATTAACATGATCTAATATGATTAAGCCACTCATCCTAAAAATACCATCGGCTTCCTGCTGCTAAATTCCCTAAAGCGGCCACGAGGCCTGGCCAGAGCTGACCTGACTCTCCCCCCGGCCCCTGCCAGAAGGCTCTCACTGACCTCAGGTGACAAGTCCCTCCCCAGTCACCTCCAGCACCCCTCAGGGCATGGTGCTGTTTTCCAGTCTGACCTCTGCTCACTAACGCACTCGCTGCCTTAGGGCCTAACACACAGGCCTTCAGCAAATATCTTCTGTTTGAACAAATCGACAAACATGGGCCCTCACCTGGCACACCCCCCACGCCTGGCCCTGCTGCCGCCAGCAGAAGCCCTGGCTCCCGGGCAGGACCCACTGTGCCATGAGGCACTGCAGGGCCTTAAAAACAAATGCTTAATGTATATTTTACCACGGTTTTTCCCTAAATGCTGGGAAAAAGTATGCCAAAAGCAGGATCTCACTGAGGTACAACTTAAGACACGCAAAGAACATTACAAAAAGAAACATCATGGTAGCGACAGCGTCCTGAGCTGTTTAAAAGTGCTCTTGGAACATGAAATCTGGGTGGTGTGCGGCTCGGCCTGCAGGACTCCCGAGCAGTGACTCGGAAGCTTGTTTCCGGATCATTCCTGACACTGCCAGGACTTTGCTGCTTTATCTCACTCAGAAAGAACCCCGGGACACAGGAGAGTCTGGGGCTATCAAGCAACAACTGGAACGTTCCACTCTAGTTTATGTAAAGAGGCGACAGGGAGTCAATCGCCACGTGCAGCCCTGGTGGGTCACAGACCCAGGGGGCCTCTGGGAGGACAGGTGTCCACAAAGCCAGCGTGACATCTGGAGTGCTCAGTCTCCCCACCAGGGAGGACTGGAAGGGGTCATCCCTCTTACCTTTCTGCTTCACTGCGGGCTCCGGCTCAGTGTTGTCACGCCACAGACTAGCCGAACTGTCATCTGAAACACTAGCTGAGTTAGTATTAGCTTCTTTTGTTCCTGACATAAAACAGTTTAAAATGGGTTATTTAGACTGTACACGGCAGGCTGGTCATCAACGGCTTCATTAACACAGAGCACGCTTACTTATCTATGTCTTCCCACATTGCAAGTTTACGAAGGACTGACCAAAGGCAGCTTTCGAGAACTTGCACCAAGAACGTTCCTCCCAGGCGCTGCTCTGGAATCAGGAGAGAGGGAGGGGCGCCCTGACTGTGAGCAGGCCCCTGGGCCCACTCAGCCCAGGTGGAGGCTTGGGGCCCCCATAGCCAGAGACTGGCCTCGTCACCTGCATTTCTAGACCCGCCCGACACTACTGGCCTCCACTCGCCTCCCCACTATAGCCAGGCCTGGGAGTCGAGGAGCTGCAAACAGACGGCAATTTCAGGAGAGCAAGAGGGAAAGAAAAATATTTCTGGCACAGTGCACAGTCAGATAGCCTGAAAGCTCCCAAACTCTTGTCTGCTGATTACTGACTGATGTGCCAATGTCTGCAAAAACAGAAAAAAATACCAAACACCTGAGAAATACAATGTTTTTCCTATTAAAAACAAAAGTAGGGGCAGGGAGGTGCTGGAGGAACAAATTTTCAATTGCAGCAGGACCCAGGGTGGAAAAGTGACCTGTCACTAAAGGACCCCCCCACTCTCTAAAATGAAACCAGAGGACAAAAATAAAATTAGAAAAATGTTCCCTTTCCTGAAACATAATCTTATAATTTCTTAAAAGTATTCAAAGGAATAGTTTATATCAGAATCAACCTGTCTTTAACTATCAAAGAACTGCTTTATTTTATGTAATAGAACTATATAAAATAGATGACGTAATTGTCTAAGAAAAATTTTTTAATTTATAAGAATGATGCTGACAGTGTGATTCAAGTAGATAATTATTTATGATATCTTATACAGGGGAATCAAAGAATAAATATGAAATATTAAGTTCTAAAACAAATCTAAAAATAAATATAAGCTTGGCAGCTGTAGATTATCAATTTTAGAAGAAAACACCCCAATAATTAAGTTGTTATATTTTATTTGAAAGTCTCAATATTTTCTGTACTATATAAAATTCACCAGCACAATAACTACAAATGCATTATCTTCAGTCTGTAACCCAAGGAGATCACTGACACTTTGCATAATTTTATCTCTTCAAAGTTCTAGTGGTATTTTTTTTTGAGAGGCCTATGACAGTTGTTTTAACATTTCTACTAGTATTCTTAAATAAGCTTTACTAAACCCCAAATTCACATAAATAGAAAGAACATAAAAACAGACTACACATTCACTAATAATACTACAATCAATCCTTAATCACAGAGGGCAGGTTAACCAGTTTGCCAAATAATAGCTTTAAAACAATAAATAATGCACCCATAAAAAATTAAAATTACTATGAATTGGCAAAACAATCAGCACATTAGCACCATCTGTCGTCTGAATTACCAGGAATCAACGAACCTCGCAGGTAAGGATGTGGGCCTTGGTGTGAAGACTTCCCAAGTTCTAAGGCTGCCAAGCGCTGCCCCTTGAGCAGGCTCTGCGCCCTTCGAGCCAGTTTGCCCTCCCTTATGGAGCAACCATAAGAGTCAAACGAGATCCTGTGCCCAAGGCAGGGAGCACTGTGTCTGGCTGAGGGCCAGTCTATGTCAATTACTATCCCTGAAACTCGCCGACCAGACGTCACAACACAGGCATAAGCAACTTGCCATTCTGCCAGTGTTCTGTGCAAATGTTAGCTGCACAAAGTTGCTGAGTGTATCTAACTGTTAATGTGACCAAATCATGGTTTAAAATGCGGGGATCTGCCCAGTCCAGTGATCAGTCTCAGCGCCACTTTATGAGACGCAGAGGCACTAAGTGTATCCTGATAGGAGACAAGATAAAGGACACAGCACCACCCATGTAGGGGTGACAGCAAAACAACATGTTCAACCCAAATCTACTCAGGCCTTGAGATCTAACAGAAATACGGGGAGGGGTGGGCGGTAGAGGGGTGTCATAAGTTAAACGGTACCACAAGGAAACAATCAGACAAATGCAGAAGGTGAGACATTCTACAAGACAAGCAACCTCATCTCTCCAAAATATCAATGTGCTGGAATAAAAGGGCAAGAAGGGGGGATATTAGTCCAGATTCAAAAAGTTAAAGAGACAAAAATAATAATAAAAAAAATACAGCATGTTAATCTTAACTGGATCCTGGTTTTTAAAAAAATAACATTTCTGAGACAAAATTAGAATATAGCCTGAGTTTTAGATGCTATTGGGGAACAGTAACTCTGTCAGGTGCAACACATATAGGAGCATGTCTTCTTTATTTTTTGAGCTGCATGCTGAAGTATTTGGAGGGAATTATTTAGAGGTAAAGTGCTAGGATGTTTTTAATATACTTTGAAACAGTTCATAAAAATACATCACTACAGAGGAAGCAAATATGACAAAATGTTAGAACTACTGAATCCTAGGTGAGAGGTATATGGGTGTCAATCATACTATTCTTTCTACTTTTCTATGTTTTTCATAATAAAAAAGTTTAAACAATAAAACAAAACGAAATGAGGGAACTCAAGCAAAATAAACACATGGACAGTGTAATGTTCCAGGAGCACCTGGAACTGTCAACTGTAAGGAGAACACGGCTTATCAGACAGCCCTCACTACAATACAGAGCAGGGGAAGAAATAATCATGTTTTGAAGAAGAAATGGATCAATTCCTTGTTGAATTCTTCAATCCACCTGAAAAAGCAAAATGATAACAACAAAACCCAGGAATTCTCTTATGATGCCCCTGATAACGCAGGCCAGTTGGGTCCCGGCATCCGGCACAGGCAGGCCAAGGCCTGGATCAGTCGGCACAATAGGGCACGGTTTTTCCTTGAAGCTCAGAGTGAAGGTGAACTGTGAGGAGAGGCTCAGGAAGCAGACCCAGGGCCTGGAACCTGGAAATCATACTCAGTGTGAGAAATTAGGGAACCATAACTGCTGACAGCCTTGAATTCCAAAACTTAAATGACTGCCAGTGCAAGATGACATTTGTAACTGGCATGACTGTGATGACAGGGACCCAGGGCGTGTGCAGTGGCAGGACTCGTGGGGAGAAGGGTCTGGGGGAGGCGGAGGTGGGACCACGGAACGTCAGCGGGCGTGCAGGACTGCCCAGGGCCACTAGGTGGCGCCAGGCTTCGTTCTAATCTCTGCAAAGCGCTCAGCTGAGAAGCACCAGGGGCAGTGCTTTATGCTTCTCAACACTGAGCTTACAGTATTTTCACACTCGTAGATAATACCTACAGAGTGATGATTTATGTCTAAATAATTATTTTACTCTGTTTGAAATCCATCGCACCATCTCAGAAGGAGCACTGTCTCACCCTGATTTGGGGCTGCCTGTAAACCAAAGTCATCTGTAATAAAGTAGGTCACGCGTGGCACGCCAGTGACAAGCCAGCCACCTTATGGACATCATCTCACTGACTCTCCAGGCAGGCATTGTCACATCCGTTCACCAACTCGGGGACTGTGGCTCAGAGAACACATCCGCGCGGCTTGCTCAAGGCCAGCCGGCAGGTAAGCAGGAGAGACGGGGCTCTTCCCGCTGGTCGGGGACGGCCAGCCTAGGCACCCACACAGGGCAGTCTCTCACTCAAACTTGGACCTCCGCCCACTCCTCTCTCCTGCGGTACAGGGACTGCCTGGTGATCTCCTAAAGGACCTTGCCTGCAGCTGAGGAAAGCTCCCGCAAAAATGAAATATACTATCACAAGATGTAGGCCCATTGTGAAAAGAGTTTTCAGCAGTAAGAAATCACTGTGCTCCAGTTTAGCAACCTCTTATCCAGTCATCCCATACTGCTGAAGACCTAGATAAATCAGACAACTGACCTACTTGGAACAAAATAACTGCCGGTCACCTTTGACACCATACCTGCGGAACCAATGGTGGAGGAGAGTGCTTGCAAACAGACCTCCTCTTAGAAATGCAAGTCTTAAAGGGACATGCACATAGAAAGATTCAGGCTACAGGGACAGAATTTTTAAAAATCAGATACAAGGCAAGTTCAGTTTAGAAAAATTTTATCTTTCCCTAGAGTTGAGACTTACGCTATTTTTTCCCTTAAATGTCACTCAAGAATTCTAATATTTCTGAAGAATTTAGTTTAAATCTCAGAAGAGTGCAGTTACTGATATTTAATCGAGGATTATCCAATTTGAAATTCCGAATTTATACATCTAATCACTCCACATCAGCAGGGTGAGGATACATGTGTATCACGTCACACTGCCAGCCTCAGATCAAAAAGGGCAGGCCCTGGGAACAAATCCCCAATGTGCCAGAAGCAAGCACTTTAAAGTCTTTACTGTGGAGCGTTTTCTAGTAGAACACAGCAGAGCAGCATGGAGAATTGGAAAGATAATTTCTCTAACTATCCACATTGTATTATAAAATTTCAACAGCAAGATAAAGAAAGCACTTTGATTTAGATGAAAAATAAATTATACATAAAAAGCCATGTAAAAGTTAACTTAAAGCTGAGTTAATATTCTTTATCATATAATTTAGCAAGTTAAAGCAAATAGAATGTAAGTCATTTCTGATCTTCAGGAAAAAATCTGATGAACATTAAAGTGGTTAGAATGGTATTTTTTATGTTATTTTATATTACGTTATGTTATGATATTTTATGTTATATCAAAAAATAACATAAGTATCCTGAGAAGTAAAGATTTCACATCAAAGTGGTGAGGAATTTAAACTAAAGAACATGTTTCCTTACCTATTTCTGAAGTTGTAGTTTCCTGATCTGGTTCATTATTTAATATAGACACTATGGGGTCTAAAATTTTAGCTGAAATATTATCCTCCTTTCTTCCTGACATAAAATAGTTAACAATAGATTAAAAGATTGCAAAGGTTTTTGCGTTTGGTTCTTTAGTTGGGATTTATAGGGTTTATGCCAAGGTCACCAACTAACTGTCTCATCAACTCACTGGTCAACTCCCAGCCTCCGTGGCCTCCAGAAGTCCAACTCCTGAGACTCCTGCCCTCGGCCTTCAGGACGCCCCCTCTCCAACCCTCCTCCAACTTGTGGCTTCTGTCTTCTTTGCTAGAGCCTCCTTCTCCACTTCCGACTCGCGAATCCTGGTGGGCTCCGGGGCTCACCAAACTCTTCTCATCTCCACGATCCCCCAGATTAATTATCACACGAATCTGGGGCGGGCAAGATCACCTGTATGCTAAGAACTCCCAATTTTTTTTGTTTTTAGCTTCAGTTTCTCCAACTCTCTCCCTGAACTCCAGGCCTACATGTCCGACTGCTGTCTCAACACTCTACTTGGCTGTTTCACAGGCATCTCAAACTTCACGTGTCTCAAACAGAATTCCCGGTGCCGCCACCCATTCCAGCACCCAGCTTCTCCCGAAGCCCTCCCACTTCAATAAATGACACACGGAGGTGCCCGGACACCACCACAGAACTGATCTTATCTTTGATTCCTGTCATTTCTAACAAGTGCCATCCAAGCCGTCAGCATATTTGTCATCTCCTCCATCAAATATACCCTACACCCAATCTTCTCATCAGCAACGCTCGGGTCCCAGCCATCATGGCCTCTCCGCTGGACGTCACAACAGCCACCTAACTGCTCTCCGGCCTCCACTCTTGCCCCTCTCCAGTTTTAAAAGGGGATGCCTCTAAAACCAAAGTCAAACCATGTCCCTTTCCTGCCTCAAACCGTGCAAGGACTTCTGCTCACACTTACTAAACACGGCCGACGTGGCCAACAACTCAGGCCTGCCCATTCCTGCTGCCTCTTCTCCTACCACCTCCCCTCTCTCTGCTCCAGCCTCACCGCCGGGCTTCCTGTCACTCAAACAGGCAAGCCTGTCCCCAGCTCAGGGCTGGGCCCATTCCTGGACACCGGCACGCCCTCCCTCACCCCAGTCAGTGTTCTGTCCAGATGGCCCCTCCTCAGAGGCCCTCCCTGCCTGCACTCCCCCCACACTTCTCTTGGCTTCATTTCCCTTCCAAAGACTCACTGCTCACTAACGTGGATGCAGACCCCTGTGTGCTCTTCATTCTCTGCCTTCTCTCTCCATGTTCTACTCTTCAGGAGGGCAGGGACTCCTCAGACATTTGCAGAATAGACAGGAAGGCTCGAATGGACCATGTCAGCCCAGGACTGACCTGGCATGACTGCCCTGCAGCTCTGGCGGGCGGGGCCCACATGCCCTCTTGCCCTGCTCCACTCTGGCCAGAGGGCAGTGCTCTAGAGCCCAGGCCCCTGTCAAGTAGGGCCGCATTTTTGCTGCACCACCCACAGAGCTCCACCAGTTCAACGATCAAACGGACGCAAAGGACCAGGCAGCTCAAGGTTCCAACTCTCAGATTTCCACTCCCAGCCTCCACTGGGGCTTGCTGGGTCTCACCCAGTTGCTTCACGGTACACTCCTTCTTAGGGGTGTAAGTTAGGTTCTTTTTTTTGTGTGTGAGGAAGATCAGCCCTGAGCTAACATCCGTGCTAATCCTCCTCTTTTTGCTGAGGAAGACCAGCCCTGAGCTAACATCTATTGCCAATCCTCCTCTTTTCCCCTTTTTTCTCCCCAAAGCCCCAGTAGATAGTTGTATGTCGTAGTTGCACATCCTTCTAGTTGCCGTATGTGGGACGCGGCCTCAGCATGGCTGGAGAAGCGGTGCGTCAGTGCGCGCCCAGGATCCGAACCTGGGCTGCCAGTAGTGGAGCGCGCGCACTTAACCGCTAAGCCACGGGGCCAGCCCAGTTAGGTTCTTTTTCAGGGGAAAGACTATTTTCCTTGGTTCTAGAGTCCCTTCTTCCTGACATGAAACTGCACAATGAAAATATGTCTTAAACTTAACTTGTAATGCTGCCTATCATCAAATAAATGAAATTAAAGTACACTCACTAACTCAAAGTGATTAGTTCTGCTATAATACATTAATTAAAAATAACCAAAAATTATCATATTCTTTTTTGTGTGTGTGTGAGGAAGATCAGTCCTGAGCTAACATCCGATGCCAATTCTCCTCTTTTTTGCTGAGGAAGACTGGCCCTGGGCTAATGTCTGTGCCATATTCCTCCACTTTATACGGGACCCCGCCACAGCATGGCCTGACAAGCGGCGCATCGGTGCGCGCCGGGGATCCGAACCTGGGCCGCCAGCAGCGGAGCACGTGCACTTAACTGCTACGCCATGGGGCCGGCCCCTCATATTCTTATGCAGAATGTTTTTTGGATTCCATAGGGATTCTAGAACGGCTTTAAGATTCTAAATACGTCTAACAAACACGATATCCTCACATCCCAGTAAATGCAAGGCTCATCCCCTCGGATGGAACAGAAGGCCTGTATCCGCACACCTTCTGGGTGCCGGACGTGTTTCCAAATGTTAGGATGGAGGGCCGGCTTTGCTGGGTGAGAACCTGGGGGGAGGTCAGTGCCCCGGCTAGCAGGCAGGGAAGAAAAGAGTCCACCAATTGTTGACAGCTCAGTAAAGTTTAATGTCATAAAGCTTGCAAATTCCTGACAACAAAATCTTGTGAGGACTGCGTGAGAGGACCCCTAAAGCACAGGCTCACCAGTAAACTCAGACACAAACATCCCGAGTTGTTAGAAAAGAAGAGCAGATGACATGACTATTCGCTTAGAAAACCCAAAAAATCAACGGAGGAGCTACGGGTTAAGATTCAACACAAGGCAAGATTTAAGGTACAGTACAAAAATCAACAAAGTTTCTACATACCAACAATAATCACTAAAAAGTAATATGGAGAAGAAAGATACCATTTCCAAAAGAACTAAAAACAAAACAAACTATGGAGTAACCTTGACTGACAGACGCCCCCAGCACGTGCACGCACACCTTCCTGGGAGAGGGGGAGGAGACACCTGCACTAACGGGACACTGGAGGTGCCAAATCTTCCCCAAATAAGGAAAGCATACATTTAACACAAGCCCAGTTAAATCCTGGTAAGTTTGTGTCTTGTGGGAGGCGGGATTCTTACACTCATCAAGAGATTTTAAAATACATCTGGAAGAATAAGCAAATAAAATGGCTTAAAATTTATCCCACACAGAAAAGAACAATGGTAGGAAACTAGTAGTAAAACAGAAAACAGTGGAAGTAAAAAAATAAAAACAAAAACTAGACCTCGGAGGACAAAAGGCATACAGGGGAATCACAGAGCAGGAGGGTAGGGTACAATTAGTTAGTAAGTGATCCTGGAACACCTGGTGAGTTATTCTGAAAAAATAAATATATTCAGAGCCTCGCCTTACAGCATGAATTAAAATAAGAGATAACCAAAAAGATTAAATATAAAAATGTATGACAAAACACAAATCTTCACCTCTCAAATCTCTGGACAAACTACAATAAAAGGCTGGCAGCTTCCAGTACACAAAAATTAAACACCCAGACAAGTCGGAAACCAAACCCAATTAGAAGAAATGAATTGAAAAAATATAAGAAACAAACAGTTATTTAAAAATTGGCAGATGTCCTTAACGTACAAGGAGCTCATGCAAATTAAAAAGAACACTGAGACTCCAAAGAGAGCAACGAGGAACCAGGCAAAGGAAAGACAGACATGTCACAGAAGGCAATAAAAATTACTAGCACGTGAAAAAATGTGCAACTTCACTAGTAATGACACAGAGAGAGCACTTTTTGTTTTTCATCTATCAAAATCAAAATCAGCCAGCCCCTAAGGCCCTGGAGGAGGTGTGGGGTAGAGGGTACAGTCGGTGGTGCACTGTAACCAAGAGCTTAAAACACCTAGGCCCTGTGTGCCAGTAATTACGCCCTCGGGAACCAAGCCCACAGAGATCACCCCAAGAGAAAAAGGTTCTGGCACAAAAATGTTCATTACACCATTACGTATTACTGTGAAAGAGTGGCACTTACCATTTAAGTTTAATTTCTAAAGGAAAAATTCCAACTATTACATTTTGCCACGTTTCTTTAACTTTTATAATTTAGGGAAAGGATGACTTTTCAGAAACAACTACGGCTCATTTGAACTAACTTTGCACTTCAGTTAAAAGCCTCCAACAGCACTTCCCAGCACTGGACTGACATTTATTCCCTACTTACTAGTCTGTCATAACGAGGGACCATCCTTGGGCAAACTCCAGGCCAAGCCTGTTCGCTTCAGCTCCAGCTTTTCGCTTTTAGCATGATTCCCAATGATAATTTCTGCTGTTTCTTAAATGCGTAAACATCATCTGTCTAAGAGCAGGATGCTCTTTATGTCCATCCTGCATTGGGATGAAATTTAGCCTACCAATTTAAAGGACAAGTGTCAACAAAACACGGATGACTGATAAATATTTCTGGAAAATTGAAATTCGATCACATCCCTTGACCGCAATACAGATCTCCAGCACAGAGGTGCTCCTCTGCTCCAGTGCTGTGAGTTCACACACATATGTGTGCACATGTGCACGTGTGTGTGTAAAAGTCACGTCTCCATCCTTTTCACATGGTCTTTGTTCATTCCCCCGAAGGCAGATCTGCTTTCTAGCCACAGGAGGTTTTTTCTACTAGATATTATGATTAAGGCAAAGAAATTAATATCCATATTTTCACCTACTTATAAGGTAAATTTTGCAGTACCTTCCACTGAATTTTTGGATCGCCGTTTTGATGTCTTTGTGGTCACTGTCCTGGATACTCTAGCAGAAATGTCAGTCTTAAAGAGAATGAAAAAAAATTAATTGACACAATACCCTGAGCAGATTTATTATCCAAGCTCTGCTGGAGGAAGAACAGGAATCACCACAACAGCATCCACACACTCTAAAGGGGAACTGATTCCGACTCAGTGCAACGAAGCACTCGAGGCCCGAGAGAGCATTAGAAGGAGCTGAAACCCCTTTCACTCTACATTCATAATTCCGTCTTTTTGTCAGCCCTATAAAGGTCAGCAATCCGCTGACCACACTTTGAGAATCACTGTCTTAACAGGCGTGTATATATGAGGACTCGCCCTCTACTGCTATAAGCTTAATTACTTCAATGCATTTGTAAACAACTCTGAGAGTAAAAACGTACACATGTGTTTAAACAGAGCACAAATCTGAAAACAGCACATCCCACCCCTCCCACCACTGGCACAGCTCCTGTCTCGCCACCTCTCTCACCCTGCCATAACAGCCTCCTAAGTGGCCTCCCAGCCTCCACTTCACACCTTGTCCATCTTCCCTGCAGCTGCCGGATACGCTTTCTGAGATGCAAATTGGCTTATGAAGTTGGGAAGAGTTTAACCTCCCTAGGATGGCTGACATGGAGATGATGCACCCAAGACACAGGAAACACCCTGCAGGGTCCCACTCAGGCCAGGGAGAGCTTGGAGGGGTCCCTCCAGCTGGCCCTCCCTTTCCCTGTCCGCCTGGTGACTTAATCCTCTCCTAGACTCATCCTAAGTTCCACCTCCTCCCTCTCCCCAATGACCACCCTATCCCTTAGTACACCATCATATCATACTTGTCAAGTAAAGGTACAAGGAAACCCAGGAGTGCACCACAGAAAACCAGAAGGTAAACACCCCCATCTATTTCACCAGGCAGTAAACCATTTACATCATTACTTTTACCACGAAATACATACAGACCTATTACGTGTGAGCGTACAGTAGCCACGCTCTCCTCCCACGTCTCAGGGGACCAGGAGAGGACCACAGCACAGCAGTTACTATGACAACACAGCTACAGGTTTACACGTCTGAGAATTATTTTTAAACATACCTCTGTTTCAGCTTTGGAGTCTTTAAAAGATCCATCTGTCAACTTTTTAGACACCTCCCTTGAGCTTGATGACTACAAAAGAAAATTTTTTTTCTTCAAACTCTAGAATTATTCAAGTCTGTAAGGTGTAAAAACACATCAAGATGTTTCCTCTAACATTGACCAACAAGATAACCCTCCCCACAGAGTGCCCGTCACACTCCAGATCTGACGATCCGTGCCTGTCACACGCCTGGACCCAGAGGGCCTTCCAGGGTCTCTCCCTGTGTGAGGCAGGCCGGGGGTCAAGGGCTCAGAGGCAGCGCCCCCTCAGGAAACTGCCTGGAACAGTGTCCCCCAGACACACCGGATCCCTACGCCAGGCCAAACTGCTGGGGAACATTCCAGTGAGACACAGGGACTCTGGAAACAAGGGAAGGAGTGACAACGGAAACCTCCAACCCCCACGAAAAAACTGCTCCCATCCTTGTCTTCGGAGAATGGGGCAACTTCAGATGGAGCGGTTCTTTGTAAGCAGAATCTTCAGACCCTACGTCAGTCGGTAAAGCACTCTCCAAACATAAATTACATGAAAACTGTAAACACATTAAATCAACACCTTAAAACAATCTCCCACCTAAATCAAGTCTCTAAAAGCACATCTTGATAGAAGGAGTAGAAGAGATAGAATCACCAAGATTTCCCTCCATGAAGACTGAAAAGCCAAGGATGCCTGTTCAATATTTCAATGACTAAATGTCCTCATAACTTAATCATGAAGGTACCAGACCGCAGCAGCAGTAACTACCCCGCAGCAGCCCAGGCTCTGTGCGCTCAGCGGTCCTCACCGCAGAGAGGTGAGGACACCCAGCACCCAGACGGCCGCGTGGCCCTGAGACCACACCGCGACACACTCTCCACTTCTCCGGATGCCTTCACACCTACCAGCTCACCTTTCCTTCACAAAAACCCAGAAGCAGGTGGACAATGTCTCATCATCGTCTCCTCCAGACAGAAATCAAACGGAGGAGAGTCAAGGCACCTGCCCGAGGGTGAAGACTGAGTGGCAGAGCCTGGGTCAGAACTGAGTCTCCTGCCTCCCCAGCGCCGCCCTGACAGAAGTCTCTAGGAGCTCGGCTCTCTGGGAGGTTCCACGGCTCACCACGTGCGTGGCACTGCTCACCTGGGGAGACAGCATGCTGCTGCCCAGACCCCGCTCCATGAAGGAGACCAGATTTCCACAGAAGAGCCAGGCGGGCAAAATCACCACCAAAGGTCTGTGCAAATCTGACCTCGGTCGAATAAGGACCAACTCTGAGTAGGAAGGTGGCCCCTTCACCCTGGTCTCACACACTTAAACAAAACCATCACTCACACTTGGCTCTAACATGTCCCATATGTCCGCCTGTAAGAATTTCTCGTTGGAACTGTCTCTCTATTTAAAAAACTAGTCACAGCAACAGCAATTTCAGTGAACATAATGGGTAGGAACACTTGACGCGAAGACTGTGGGAGCTGAGAAGGCTATCCCACTCAGGGACTGTCTCGTGCACAGGGAAACACCAGAATGAGCTGGCACCTCAGAAAAATCAGACCTCTATAAAGAGGCAAAAGATGGGGAATGTCTTTGTTATTTCTAAAACTCCTAAAGGAACACTGGTTTTTATAACATATATAATAGCCTACATTACTCCAGGGTGTTCATGGGAGACCCCAAGGTTCCTAGTAGTATGCTAGCTCAATTACTAACCAAACCAACTGTACATAACTTCCGCCAAAGACCAGTTTCCAGGACTCCCGCAGGGTCAGTCCCACCGGGCCCACCCATTTCCCTGGACAGCACACCCTGAGATCCAATGCCACAAAGGAGACCACTGTCTCGGGAGGAAAGGGCCTCGAGTACCAGCTCTGGCCCTGCCCCTCACCACCTGGCCGCATCACTTGGGCAGATCTTGAACCTGTCCAGACCTTGGCTTTCTCCTTTCTAGCAGCTAGAGACCAGAAGATTTCCATGACTTTCCCAGGACACTCTGCAGTTATATGATGTCCCCATGAAAACAGGCATCTGGGACACCAGCCCTGACAGGAGACCTACATTACCTACAGAGAGCTCAAAAGTAACTTCCAAAAGTAACTGTTTGAAACCAAACACATTTTCTGGCCAATCCTAAATTTACCTGAAAATTTAATTAAATAAGAATTTAGTACACTGAGGTTTTATTGTACTTATCTGCTAATGCCTAAAAGACTTAGAAACTAGTCCTAATCCTTAATCAATTCCACCATGCCCAGGCTCCAAGAGCCCACACACAACTGAGGCTGTTGGTAAATACTGCTCACAACTCAAAGTTATAGGCTGCTCCAAAGTCTTCAGAAAAATACCCAAATACACACACACAGCCCAGAGATGAAAAGTAGTAAATCTTAAAATATTGGGCAAAAATCTAGTATTTCTTTGGGTTTCTACTGGGAATCCAAGATTGTCATTAATTTTAAATTAGCAATAAGAAAACCAGTTACCTAATCACACTATAAGACGACAAAGATCATTTCAGAGAACAACACAAACTCTTTCTAAGTGAAAGGCAGAAGTTTTCAAATAGGACTTTACCTTTTTCTCCGGTTTATCATGCTCTCTGCTCTCTTCCCTGTCGGGGTCCCTGGCAGGCTCCTCATTTCTCACCCTCCGCCTGTCCCTGCCCCTGCCCTTGTCTCGCTCGCGCTCTCTCTCCCGGTCTTTCCATCTCTCCTTCTCCTTTCCTCCCTCGTTCTTCCTCTCTCTCTCACGCTCCACATCTCTGTCCCGGTCTTTGTTGCCTCTGTCCCTGTCTCTGTCCCTGTCTCTGTCCCTGTCTCTGTCTCTGTCCCTGTCTCTGTCCCTGTCCCTGTCTCTGTCTCTCTCTTGCTTGGTCCTGGTCTTGGTTTTCTCCCTCTCTCCTTCTCGGCACTTGTCTCTCTCGGGATCTTTCTGTCTACCGCGGTCATTCTCCTTGGTCTTCTCCTTGTCCCTTTCCTTTCCTCTTGGCTTGTTTTCTTCTTTCAGTTCTTCTTTCTGTTTTTGATCTCTGCTTGTACTTCTCTCATTTATTTCAGAGTTTCTTCTATCCTGAAAAAAAAGTCAGATAACAATATCACTTATAGATGTCCTTACCTGAACTACAAAAAGACTATTTCACTTTTAGATATGTGCACCTTGCAATTCACCTCTTTATCTTGATGCACTCTGGGCTCCTCTCTCGCATTCCTATTGTCCCATTCTTGAGATTTCGACATGAGTGAGGTTCTTCCCTTCGTATCCCCCTTCTCTCCAGCCAACACGCGCTTCACCGCATCATCACTGGAGAGCTTGTTGTCCGAATGTGAGGAAATGAAACGCCAGGTGAAAATGAGGTCGGCACGTGTAACAAATATGTCAACATTCAAAGACAGCTCATTAAACCGATTCTTTGTCTACCAGTGAAATACAGAGGATGAAATATTAAAAGGAAATGTTCTGGGCCGGCCCTGTGGCTTAGCGGTTAAGTGTGCGCGCTCTGCTACTGGTGGCCCGGGTCCGGATCCCAGGCGTGCACCGACGCACCGCTTCTCCGGCCATGCTGAGGCCACGTCCCACATACAGCAACTAGAAGGATGTGCAACTATGACATACAACTATCCTTTGGGGCTTTGGGGAAAAAAAAGGAGGAGGATTGGCAATAGATGTTAGCTCAGAGCCAGTCTTCCTCAGCAAAAAGAGGAGGATTAGCATGGATGTTAGCTCAGGGGTGACCTTCCTCACAAAAAACAAAAAAAGGAAATGTTCTCACAGACCAAGTACAGCCTCTCCTACAACTATCACGTCCAGGACTTCAGTCGTTAACAGCAGAGTCCACCCAAGCTAAACGAACCCGGTTCAGTTCTACCCAAGCTGTCAAGTGTGGCCGTGTGTGTTGTCCAAGGACAGCAAAGCTGACCCCACAGCTCATAAACGCCTCACACTTCTCACGGGATCAGAGGCCCAGCACTGAAAGGGCCTGAGGACTGATCTAACTCCAGCCCCATCAAACGCACAGGCCCCTCCTGCAGCATCCCTGCCCGCCACCCAGAGCCTCTGAACACCTCCGGTCAGGAATCCCACTCACTCACACACTCACTCATTCCACAAGGACGCACGGAGTGACGTTACACACCAGGCGCTAGACTACAGGCCAAAGAAAAGCTGCGTACTGGGAGAGACGGCTAATACGACGATTAAACTTCAGCATGCTACCGGAACACAACAGGGGCACTAAGTCAGCCTGGGAGGGAGGAAAGGCCAGCGCTCCTCGAAGAGCAGCTGATCCCACACCGCTGCCAGACGAAGCAGCTCCACGCCGAGAAAGTAGCAGCATGCAGGAGGGAGCATGACCAGTGCAGAAGACCTGGGGGTGCGGGCAGGTGTGGGAGACAGAGAGACAACTGGAGGCGGGCAAGGAGCAGCAGGTCTGCAGGGGCCTTGTGAGCCATGCCCGGAGCTGCTGGCTGTGCCCCGAGGCAACAGGAAGATGGCAAAGGATTCAGCAGGGAAGACAGGAATCAGACGTGCTTTTTAGAAAGAGGAGCAACATGAAGGATGTGGGGGTGAGGGGGAGACGACAGAGGCCAGAGCACTGGCAACATCAGCTTCTGCGTCTCCATGCCTGAGTTGGACACAGACCAGGGCGAGGCACTCTTGAGGCCTCCTGGGAGCCCACTCCTCACCCCATCCCCACTGCTGCCATATGGGCTGAAACCCACCTTTTCCCATTTTGGTAACACCAAGGGTCAGCCCCCAGCCTACAACCTATCAGGTACATGAAGGGCTGTATTTGCTGTGCTCTTGATAGAGGTCCAACTCCACTCCCTTTGGGGCCACTCGGCTCCACAGAGAAGGAAGACCCTGGGGATGACCTGCTCCCATCACCATATGAAGACCTCCCCCAATGTCCTGGCAAACATAGCCCGGACTGGACCGGGAGGCCAGAGAGGCCAAGTTTCCAGCCCATGGTGAGGGTCTCAGGAAGCAACAAATCCAAAGCCTGCACAAGTGAAACAGGACTTCTTTAAAGGCAGCACAGCCCTGCAACCAACAGCCAGGAGAGAGGGAGGGAAGCAGACACCAGAGGCTGGGTAGGCAAGCAGAGAACAGGGACGTCTCATAAGCACTAAAGAAGAAAAGCAGCTCCTTCAGCCACCCCGGCTCCGGCTGAAGACAGTCACCTGCCCTGAACGGAGGCCCAAAACGAGAAGGAATGCAGGGCGTGGAAGCCTGGCGTGCAGCCTCCAGCCACCTGCCCCAAGAGCAAAGTGCCTGTGAAGTTCCCTACTTTACACCTGAAGCTTGTAGAACATGTGCACAACATACCCTTCTCTGCTTCACTGCACAGTTTTAAACTACTTCTCCTGTAACTCCGAGGCTCCAGAACAGGTAGGATCAGATTAAACTGCAGTGTTGCCCAGACACCAAGAAACCTCCTTCCTCAAACACTTCCCTCTAGGTTAGGCAGCTTCCTCTCCACTTCCCGGAGCCTAAGGTCCCAGCGCGACAGCGTTACCTTGTTGAGACAGCACTTCCCAATTCTCTGCAGCAGCTCGTTTGTTCTCTCAGGCTCGTGCCCGGCCACGATCCGGGCTGGTTTTGCCGACAGTGGCTCTCCTGAAACCATGACCACCACGTCTATGGCCTTCTGAAGGAAGCTAATTTTTGCATCTTTATCCTGAAAGATTTCCATTTAAAATACAAACATTAAAATACTTCAAAAAGAGTTTGCACTATCTTCAGTATGTTCAACAGGCACAGTTCCTATTTATATAAAAAGCTATTTTTAGATGTACGTCAAATTTAGAAATACTGACTCTGTATAACAAAAGGAAAATAATTCATTAAAGCGTTTAATCTTAGTTCATGGGCTAGCACTAACCTCAGAGACACTAATTCCATTTCTCAATGGGTAAAATTAGCATGATACATAGTTGCCCAAAATTAGAAAACGAAATAAGAAAGGGTATACAGCAGTTCACGACTTAATCCACCTTGTCTTCTTACCATCTATCAGCATATAAATGACACACGCCACAGATACAGCTTATAAAAACCCCCATTCATTAAGGCGAGGGGGTGGAACCCCCCCCAAACCTACCTTAACATTATCAGACTTCATCTCAGTGTCCGTGTAGAGGCCTTTCATGAAACCAGTCATCCTAATCACCTTCAAAAGATAAAGCAAGGCCATGGTCAGCACCTCACGGGACAGCCTCCTCAGCAGCCTCATCCACCGAACCCCAGGCTCAGGGGCTGTCAGAATCTGTCTGCACCCAGAATCTAATTCATTCACTCACTCCACAAACACGTGAGTGTCTACCATGTGGAAGCCTTGTACCAGGCAGAAGCCCACCTGGCTGTGGGGACAGGCCAACATTACAAAGACTTGCAGGGTGCTAAGGGAGCCCCGCTCAGAACCTAATCCAAATGCGGGAGGGGCGAGGGGCGTCAGGGAACACTTCCCAGAAGAAATCCTGTCTAAACTGAGCAGAGGCTGACAGGAGAAAAGTCGGGGGAGGGAGTATTCAGGAAGCGTGTGCCAGGATAACAAACAGTCCCCGCAAGGTCCAGAGCCAAGAGGGTCCTGTTCTCAGGATCAAAGGAAGTTGGGATGGGAGGAGCCTGAGGCCAGAGTCAGGCAGGGGCCTGGCCTGGATGGCCTTCCAAGCCATTCAGGAATGCGGACTTAGCCTTGGGAACAAGAGGAGGCCGTGAGAGGTTCAAAAGCAGGGAATGGCATCTTACAAGGGTCACCCAGGCTTGGTGGAGAGAATGGATCCTGGAAAAAAAAGGAACTTCTCAGCCTGGGTTTCTGACAGTGGACGGAAAGGTCTTCCTTACCACTGTGCTGCTCACTTCCTAGGACACAGGGGTGCTCTCTGCCGTATCACTTCTGTTCTCTCCCCTAGTCAACCTGTACCTCCCAATTACCCCTAAAACGAGCTCTTGGGTGGTGATTTTCTCTGTTCCTCCCCACCCCTACACACAGCCAGCGCCCTGGGTTCCCTCAGACACAGTTTTTCAAAATGTGGTAGATCACTGTAAAATCAACATAATGGGTAGCAATAAGCATTTTAAAAAAATGAAACAGAAAAGAAAATATTAGAATGTATCGTATGTGGTAAGGATGAATATGTCTATGGGTGAATATGTCCTGGGTGGATACAGAGCATATTTATTACTGCATGTTCAAAAAAAAGGAAGACAGTCCCTCGCTAATATCAGGCTCCTTCTCTGACACCAAGCTACAGCTAGCTATTAATTAAGTCAGCTTTCATTCCTCATCAAACTACTTAAGAGCTGTGCCATTATTTTTCCTGATAAGACAGGTGGAATATTACGAGTATCCTGCACTTAACATTCTTGGAACTTTTTCATTTTGTCTCTTTTGAGGTTTTCCCAGTTTGCTTGCAATTAAAATTGTGAGCAATAATTTTAAGTGATGAGACATTAATGTCACAAGATCAACACTTGGATTTATAAAAGAGGCAGAATTAGTTTAACTGTAGCTAAAATACTAATATGGTGACTTGACTATAATGCTCAGGGGCAGTAAAGAATTTTCATAGAGGTTCTTCCCCTATTATCTAAAAATCCTTTCCAATATTTCAATCATCCTAATATCTTTATCAAGTAGGTGACAATTAACATATTTATCTTTACACAGGTAGAGAAATTCATTTCGGCATTAGATTAGGAAAAATCTGTGAAAGAAAAGCAGGTGAGTGGCTCCTGATAGGGAACGCTTCACTCCTTCCACACAGCCTGGCTACCTGGCCAATCACATCAATTTCTGCTTGCATGTTCCTCCTCCTCCTCCATTAAGATGCCCTCCGACCTTCCAGGAGGTGGGGACAGCAGCCACCATGAGCCCAGCCCCACACCAAGACCCACAGGATGAGGCACGTCCCCCCGCCTCCTCCCTGGCTCTGTTTCAGCAGGGAGACAGGACTAACACAGAAAATAAAAGTGTGAGGCTGTGGCAGCAATTGCCCTAGTCAGCCAGGCTCACACCCTGGCTGACTGACTTGTTCCCTCCTGGGCTGGAGGACGCTACTTCACAGGGTGGAGGTGATGCAGCACACAGCCGTGTCCCTTCCCCAGACACTGTCCAGGACAGGTGTAAGTGCTGCACTAGCTGCACAAGGAGGCAGCGGCCAGTCAAGACGACCCTTGGGATGTGGATGGGATTCCAGAGAATTTTAAGCACAATTAGGGTTTTCAGCACAGAGGCACACATTATAAGCTAAGTTAAGATGGCAGAAACAAGCAAAGAAAAGTTTGTGGAAGAGTAAGATGCCCAACCTGTTGAGAAGAGTGAGAAATAAAGTTTGAGGACCAACACAGGGTGAGATTAGCAGCCCCCCGAAGCCTGCAAGTTCAACGTGATTCCTAATTCCCAAAGAGCATGCCTGAGTTCCCAGGTTCAACACGGCCCCCCCAGGTGCACCATGGAAATGGGCGATGCCACCCTGGGTTACCAGGAGCCTTGACAGATTCCATTCAACAATGAATGTTTGTTGTGCACCTTCTGTGTACCGTACCCAGTGCAGCTCACCCAGGATATGCCAACAAAGAAGTTACAGTCTCCATCATTCAGAAATTCACCATCCAGTGGGGTAAAGTTACAGACAACCAAACACCACTCAGGGCAGGCTGTGCCATTTATCAGCAAACACTAACCTGCTCTTTTATAGTTTTTCCTTTCGGGACCCCCTACAACCAACTTCAGTAAATTCACCCACAGGTATTTATTAAGTATCCAACATGTGGTGACCACTGTGCTCCGCAGTGCAGTGGGAAACTTGACCGGGGATGGGGGGGGCCGGTATAAAAAAGAATAATTTCATTCTCCCAGGATTTCTGAGCACCTTCCACGTGCTAGGCACTGCAGGAAAAAAAAATCACAGAAACAACTCTGCCAGGGAAAATGGAAAATGTGCTCTAACAGATACACGGGTAGGCTGAAAAGAATTAATGCTCCCTGAGGAGCTGGGATCTCCCCGGAAGAGGCAGCCCTGGGGGATGGGTGAGAACAGGAGAGCAGGGGTGAGCGCGAGGAACTCCGCGCAGAGGCACTGCGGAATTGGGCCCAGTGGTCGCCCCTCCCGGCTGCAGGCCAGGCCAAAGGCCGGGCTCCTCGGGCAGGCGCCGCGCACAGCGACGCGAGGCCGGACCCCGACCCCCCAACCCCGACTTGGACCGGGGCCCTGACCCCCAGCCGGCCACCCGGGCGAACCCCTGACCCCCGCCGTGGGCCCCGATCCCCAGCCCGCACCCCGACCCTGACCCCGGACTCGCACCTGGGCCCAGACCCCCGCCCTGCACCCCGGCCCCGACCCCCGCCGTGGGTGCTGAGCCCCGACCCGCACACCGGCCCTGACTCGCACTCCGGCCGCGACCCCGACCCGCATCCCGGCCCCGACCCCCACCGTGGGTCCTGAGCCCTGGCCCGCACCCCGGCCCCGGCCAGGCGCCCACCTCCGTGATGATGTCGTGCAGGTAGCGGAACGGGGGCTTGCACAGCAGCTTCTCCGTCAGCGGCGGCCTCCGGATCACCTTCCCCAGCGCCTCCTGCGTCCGCTTCACCACCGCCGCGTTCATGGCGGCGCCGCCAGCGCCCCGCCGGCCCGCCGAGCCTAAGCCCCACTGCCCGGCCGCCTCCAGCACCGCCGCCGCCGCCGCCCGCTCCGGCCTCGACGAGCAGCTGGGGTTTCCATCCCACAGTGCACCGGAGTCCGCCACGGCGCGTGCGCGGGGCCGCGGCTCTCGGTCGCCAGGGCGGCGCGGCCCTAGAAACGGACGCTCCCGGCGCCCCGCCCACCACCCGCCGGCTGCGCGCGCACGCTGGGTCGGGTCTGCGGGAGGGCGGCCTCAGCCTCCCGGTGCGGGGACAGCGCCCGCCTTCTCTCTGGGCCCTCACGACAGCCTCAGGAATCGCCCCGAGGTAGAGGTGACCGCGCTTCCAGACTTCCAAGATTTGTGTTGCTCCTTTCACAGGTTTCAAGGGGACTGAACTAAGTTGTCTCAAAAGACACGGGTTAGAAAATGCCCTATCCTGTCTGTTACTTACTATGGCTTCTTGGGCAAGTAACTCTTGTTCTCTGAGATTTCGTTTCTGTTCCTATGAAGGTAGGATAATAATGTGCCAGCCTGCCTCCCTAACTGCCAAATGACGTGCCAGCGCTTTGTAACCGGGACGAAGCCACGCCCTGCTGTTCTACCAGGTGTGTGTGGTTCCGTCCCACCGTCTTCCATCCGCCATGCCCAGGCTCTCTGCAGGTCCTTCTAGCAATCTGGAAGCTTTGAGGCCTGTCTTTAGTTCTTCTGATGGATATCTTCATAACTTTACATTCATTTTTGCTATTTTCAGTGCTCTTCATTCTTTGTGTACATCCGCATTTCCACCTGGGATCATGCTTCTCCTGTCTGAAGAACTTCCTTTACCATTTCTTTTAGCACAGGTCAGCTGGCAATGGATGCTGTCACTCTTTGTCTGAAAGTCTTTATTGCACCTTCACATTTGAAGGATAGTTTCACTGACTATAGAATTCTGGGTTGACATTTTTGTTTCTTTCAGTACTTTAAAGGTTTTACTCCATTGGCTGCTGGAATATATAGTTTCTGAAGAGAAGTCCCCTGTGGTTCTTATCTTTGTTCTGTCTGTTGTGTCTCTGACTGCCTTCAACATTTTCTTTTTATCATTGGTTTTCATAAATTTGTCCATGATGTATGTGGGTTTTTTTGTTTTGTTTTGTTTTTTTGCTCAAATTTGTATGTAGGGTCCAGCCCAGTGGCATAGTAGCTAAGTTTGGCACCCTCCACTTCGGCAGCCTGGGTTCGCAGGTTCAGATCCCTGTCAAGGACCTACACCACTCATCAAGCCGTGCTGTGGCCGTGACTCATATACAAAATAGAGGAAATATTGGCACAGATGTTAGCTCAGGGCCAAGCTTCCTCAAGAAAAGAGAGGAAGATTGGCAACAGATGTTAGCTCAAGGTCAATCTCCCTCACCAAAAAAAAAAAAAAAATTGTATTTGACTATTATTTACATACAATAAAATTGACCCATTTTAGGTGTGAAAGTTGATGCAGTTTGATAATTATATACAATTATGTTGCCACCACCATGATCAAAATATAGAGCAGTTCCTGCACACCCTAAAATATTTCCTCCTGTTCATCTACAATCCATCTCCTCCTCCCCTGCCCCCAGCCCTAGGCAAATCTGGTTTCTGTCATTATAATTTTACCTTTTCTAGAGTTTCATGTAAATAGAATCATACAGTACATACATTTTTTGTTTAATTCTTTGTCTTATAATATTTTTGAGATTCATCTGTGTTGCTACATCTATTGATATGTCATTCCTTTTTGTGGCTGAGTAGTATTCCATAATACAATTTGTTTATCCATTTACCAGTTGATGGACATTTGGTTTGCTTTCACTTTTTGATTATTTACGAATAATACTACTAAGACCATTCACATCTAAGTCTTTGTGTGAACATAAGTGTTCATTTCTCTCGGGTAAATATCCAGGACTGGAATTACTGGGTTGTATGGTAAGAATATGTTTAACTTTACAAGATGTTACCATACTGTTTTCAAAGTGGCTACACCATTTTTCATTCCCACCAGCAACATATGGGATTTCCAGTTTCTCCATATCCCTGCCAACATTTGATATGTCAGTCTTTTTAACTTCAGTCATTCTAGTGGGTGTATAATGGTATTTTATTATGGTTTTAATTTGCATTTCTCTAGTGATTAGTGATTTTGAGCATCTTTTTGTGTACTTGTTGGATATTCATATGTACTTGGTGAAGATAGCCCATAAAGTATCATTCTGGCATTTATGGAATGACTGCTATGTGCCGAGTACTGTCTAGGTGCTGCAGATTTCATGGGGAACCATGTACCTTCTAGTAAGCAACATTCACACCGTCCACTGCTGTCCACTGCTCCTGGGAACATCACTCTCATTGTTGCTAACTTTATGCGGGATGATGTAAGCGTCAGTCACCTAGACAGAGGCCAGGTGAACCACCAAGGCTCACCTCCCTCCAGCAGTGTCAACCTCGCTTCTATCCACACTTTACCACGCAGGTGGGCTGGCTGTAGGCAACTTTACTGAGAGGTTGAGAGAAGCCTAAGAGAGTGACAACCCACGAGGGAAGGAATTTGACAACACTCACTGTATACAACTATGCCGTGATCAATGGGGAAAAAAGCCCCCAGCAAATTGCACCCTTCGAGGGAGTCCCCCCGGGTAGCCTTCAGTTGTTAACCCTGCTCCCCGGCTTCCAGATCTACCTCCTTGGCCAGAGCACCTCCATCCTCTGACCCCTGCCTTGTCAAATCTCCCTGACTTTCTGGAAACCCCACCCTCTACCCATGGAAGCTTTTGTGTCTTCCCATCCACTCCCTTTCTCTCAGCACTACATTTCCCAGAGTCTGGGTTCTCCAGTCCTGTCTCACACCCCAAGGCCTTGGCAGGACAGTCCACTGTGGCATTCAGCACCTGGGTCCCTTGGAACAATCCAGGGTGATGGACACTGTGAATTGGTCTCCTTCCTGGGCTCCCAGGTTCCTGTTATTCTCCTGATTGTCCACACACTTATCTTTATCACACATGTATCTGGCTTCCCAAGAACAAATATTAATTCAAACAGTTCATCAAACTCCATAAAGAAGATTAAAATAGTTTCCCAGCTGCCTTATCATTTCTGAACATCCTCACCCACACAAACTAATACTTCACATTCACATGGAGAATGGTGTCAGCTGCCTTCCTTCTCCTTCCCCACCCACCACCCCATCCCCACTTCAGGCCCCCAAGGGGCTTTTAAAAGGGGGGACATAGTGAGACTGCATACTTCTTCATGGCTGGGCCCTTAGTTCACAAAGGCTGGCCCGAAGATCTGAAATGATGAAGCCCTGAGACAAAGATACATGAGCTCCCTGCCCTCCAGGTGTTAAGGAAAGAGAGGGTAGGTTGTCATTCTCACAGGATGGCCAGGTAGAGCCCCTGGGGGCTGCACCAGATGCAGAAGATGCTGTGGTGTCTGAGAGCTGGAGTGTCCCACCAAGACATCTTCCCTGACCTGCTCCCCATGGCCAAGCTGAGACCCCAGAAGCTCCTGTGAGGAGCAGCCACCTCTGAGCTCTGAAAATGACTATGGTCAGCCTGAGCGGGGATGGAGGGGAGACTCAGGCCTCTGACTCCAAGTGCCCTGCCTTCTTGACAGACACTCCCCAGCTCCCTCCCCAGAAAGTTCATGCCAGGCAGAATCCTTCTCTGGGCCCAGGGCTGTGGGGGCAACCTGCTTTTCTGTGAGCGGTCGACCAGAGACCAGAGCGGTAGGGAAGGTAGGTGTGGCAGTGGAGAGCCCTCTGGCCACTGAGGTTCCACTGAGGACCTCATCCAGTGCCACACGAGGGGGAAGCCTAATTCTGATTTCTCTCACAGACTGTGGAGAGCAGAGGGGTCATCTAGGCCGAGGAGACCCTTTGGAAGCCTGAGGGCACAGGTCTTGCTATTCTCCTGAGGACCACAGGGCCATGAGAGAGGGTCTGAGAGGATCTGGAACAAGGGAGCGTAGCTGCCCTACCCCACTGAGGGCCTGTCTGGGGGAAGGTGGCCGTGGAGTGGACACTTGTCCCTGGAGGTCACAGCCTCTGGGGAGCGTTCTCCTGGCCATCCACTGTGTCCTCCTGAGGCCTCAACACTGCCCCTAGGCAAGTCCATCCCTCCACACAAAAGAGCAGGAGGGCAGTCTGGGCCCTGGGAAAGCAGGGCAGAGAAGATGCAGCTGAGGAGTCCCGACTCCAAGAAAGAAACCTGGAATCAGGACGCGGGGGTGGGGAGTCCAGAGGCCAGCCCGGAGCCTCCAGTTCTGGGCACAAGCTGGATGGGGGGTCCTGTAGCCTGAATAACCCCTGAGTGCCTCAGAGTCATGAAAGGATGAGAGGAAAAGGCACAGAACATAAAAAAAGAGTCATTCATGAAAAAAAGAAAATTGATTAAATAACTATAGAAAATTGCAGCAAAGAAAGAGTTTGAAACACAAAAGGCTGGCAGGAGATGCTTTTGAAATAAACAGGTTCTGAATGAATGAATGAATGAGATACCCATGGCCTTGACACCCCAGGAGAGAGAGCGCCGCAAAGCCAGATGTCTCCAGGCCCTGTCTCCCCTGCCTGAGAGGCAAACATTCCCCAAGACAAAGGCCTGGAGGGCCAGCCAAGCCCAACCCTAAGCTCCACATCTGCGAAGAGCCCAGGATGTGGGTCAGCCTGCGGGAAGGGTTGGGGAGGCAGGTACCAGGTGGGAGGAGAAGTGGTCCAGAGCCTGGAGACAGCCTCACCAGCCCTGGGTCCAAGACAGGACTCAGAAGGGCAGACATCAGTCTGTGCAGCCAGTCAAGTGCCTGGCTGTATGCTCCATCCTTTAAGCAGGGAGGTGACTGACACCGTTTTTTGAAACCTGAGGGGCCTGCATAGAAGGCCTTGTCCCCAACACTAGAGAAAAAGAAGACAAAGCCTTCCATCTGTTCCTAAACTTGCTAAGATCGTTTCTGCCTTGGGACCTTTGAACTTGTTGGTCCCTTTAGCTGAATAAGAATAACACTCTTCCCCCAGATCTTCATATGGCTGGAT